TTTTGAAAGAGAGTTCCATATTCTTAAAAGTTTGAGCTTCCTGTGTTAATGTACATACCAGTTTATAGTGGTAGTGCCACATTCAGTTCAGAATGGAAAACCATGTAAAGCATGTTCTACCCTCTTTGTTTATTTATTGGGCTGTTTACTCCAACAAGTTATAGAGGTTGGGAAAAAAAGGGTCATTTTTCATTTTCACGTTAAAAGAAATTTTTTTTTCCATTAGGAAATAAATATATTCTCTGTACTTACGGGTCTGAACGCTGCCTCTTAACATCTGCCACTGCCAGGTCTTTGCATTGGCAAATAAAAACATGGAGCTCATTCAGCTGTTCCACATAATCAATAGCAAACTGAATGTTCCCCTTCACGTCGACGTTGCCAAAGTCTGCGCTGTAGATGCTCATTAGACTTCCGCTCACCTGCGTCACACAAGAAAAGAAAGATTTTCCAGACGTTGCATTTCACCAGATACTTCAAGATTAGGGTAGAAGTTATGCTCAGAATTCACAGGAAAGAAATCAGCTTTATCCTTTCAGATGTCATAACAAAGCGCCACGGACACTATTATTCAAGCTTCTCAGCAAACAGAGGAAGTTATCTGAAAATCAAAGGTGCCAGGGTGAGTTTTCTACAAAAACATTTGAATGTGTTTATTGCATTGGGATAGAAGAAATAAAATGATAGCGTGCTGTAGATCCGGAGATTGCCTGTGATCTGATCCTTGAAATATTACTTATACAGCTCTTCAGCTGATCTTCCTTGCAGGAAGCAGACGCTAAGAGTTAAGGACAACAGGCCGTCCGAAAACACTGACGAGATTAGTGATAAAGTCTATGCTTGAGTTGGATGCCTAAACAAAACATACTGGAAAATTAAACCCTACCCAGGTAGAAAAAGAAGGATTTACAATTTTTTTTTTTTAAATGTCAGTACCCTTCCTCCAAATTCTCCTTTTTCCAATAAAGCCCGCATAAATTAATGACTTTTGGTCAGCTCGTTCACAGACCTAATTACACACCCCACATACCAATACTGCTTCCTTCTTTCACTTATTTCTCCCCCACCTCCCCTTCCCCTTTTTTAAATGTGCTGTGTAAATCAATCCCTTCTTTCAGCTACACATGTAAGCTTCTAGGGTGCAAGCCACCTCTGCGTTCAGTGTTTACAGAGTGTGCTGCAGAACGGAGTCCTGAACAGGCTCCAACATATCACTAGAAAACAAGAAAAGTAAAACATTTATTCTTTTTTTTTTTTTAGGCAATTCCATGCAAGGGTTCACATAACAGAGAGGGAAGGAAGGAGACAGAGATGCCAAGGGAGGAAAGATAAGAGGAATAAGGAGGGAGCTGCAACAACACTGAGGAGATCAGCAAAAGCAAAGTGCCATCAAGACAAGGCTTTGGTTTACATACAGAGGAGAGGGAGGCCATGCCAGAAGAGCCGCTAAGATTGGTTAAAGAGCTGGGACTCTTCTTGATTCTGCCGGGGCAATAACTGCTTTCTGACGCTGTGTCTGTCTCTCTGTCATCACTCTATGGAAACATCACAGAAAGAAAGTCTGGGTAGGTTCTTCATAGTCACAAGGAACATTAAAAACAACAAACAGAATTTTAATGCAGGTTGGGACTCAGAAAAAACCCAAATTTACATCTCTTTTTAGTGCAACATGAGTAATTAATATTTCTTAAATTAGGTCAGGCACTTAAAAAAAAAAAAAACATTGAAAGAGAATTTTTCTGATGGAAAGCCTACACTGAAAGTTTTTT